TGGATAGTTCCTGTAATGAAGAACCCACCTTAGTAGCTAGTTCTTCTCATGTTTACTACATTCTTCAAAAAGCATAGACTTCTCTTACACAGGGAGAGAGTGCTTGGTTACAACTGGGGATGTCATATGGACGTGGTTTCCAGAAGATGCCATGTGGGATGAGTCCCAGAGTAGGCATGGATTGCTTGAGATTGGGTTTGGGATCCCAAAGGACATATAGAATAAACCAAGACTTCAAGTTTTGAGATCACTGAAGGATAAGACCAAGGAAATGCCTGAGTCCTGGCACATGTTAGATACATGCCCTCTCCCTAAGATCACTAAGAAGGATTAAATTCCCAGAAAAATGAAAAAGGAACATTCACTTGTAAAATCAGAAGGCACACAAAGAAGCGACAGCATTGGCCTTTGAAGACCATATCCTACAATTGCTCTTAACCTTGTTTTCATATCCTCTCTAGGATTTACACTGTTTTTGAGATGCTAACCCAGAGTAGAGATTCAGAGTAAGAAAATTCAAATTCTTTTCCTTCCTTAATTAGTCTATCCATTCCAGAAAGAAGTATAATCACTAAAAGAGGAAGAGACTTTTAGAACAAAAATATTCAAAGGTGAAATGGAGAAGCAGAAATTAAAGTCCAGCTTCAGTTCCCTATCTGGCCACATCTCCGACTGCCGCAGATTACTGTTAATGAAATTGTGGTCTAGCGCCCATCCATACGGAGCACAGCTCCAAAGACAGACTAAATATATTGTTGACAAAACTTCTAAGTGCTCTAACAAGTAGAGCCTGGGAGATGAATAATTTCTTAACTGAGCATGATGCATATATGGGGTTACAGGTGGAGGGTGTGCTTAATCTGGTAATCACTTATAGAAAATGTGGGTAATTTCTCTGGCGAGAACAAGCCTAATTACTCATAATGCACCATTACTGGGCAGTGCTCAAGAGAATAAGGGCATTATTAATTTAGGTTCGGCACACAGCCACATTCTTGATGACCTCCCTTTCCCCCTTTTTGTTTCCCCAAAAAGTAATGAAATAATAACAACTGATGGCATGATCTAAGCAGTGGTATAATGAAAGGTGTAACCTGGGGTTTGGAGTCAGATCTAGCTTAGAATGCTGATACCGCACAGCTGAGAACACTCATTTCATCATAGCGTTCTGTTTTGATCTGCTTCTAAAAGGCTGAGGTAGGCTATAGTAAACTTAGAAACTGGAAACAAGAATAGCCCATTGATAGCCTTGCCAGATACCAACTTTTGTTTCCCAGGACTCATAACCATAACCAATGACTTCTCTAGAAAGGGCTCTTTAAAAGGCTCAGGAAAGCTGAAGTTGGGCTACATCTGTTTATTCAGCTTTTCTCCTGAGAGGCTTCATGGAAGAACATTCATCTAACAGAGCTGACACTGCCCTCTACATACACTTTGATTTGTATTTGCTACTTAGTTTCTATTTTAATCCACTTTTCATATCTATTAATAAAATTAATAAAAATAGAGAAAAAGATTTTGTGCCACACGGTGGGAGGTGGATAGGTTGACTTCTCAGCGGGGTGTCCAGTATCAATCCTGGGGTAATTTAAGGGAAAGCATGCACATAGGCAAGCCCTGGGGGCTCATCAAAACTACAAATGAAAAGAGCCCCGAGGCGCCCAGACAGGCGGACTAGCCCTATGCATTGGAGAGTCAATAAATGTTAGAGGTTAAACTCTTTGAACATCTGATGTGTAGTTAGATTAGGAAACCTGGTTTACTTCCCCTGTGGGGATAAAACTAGTTTCTCCCTCACCCTTCCTAAATACACCATCACCATTGGCTGTCTGTTGACACCCCCCTACCGTTCACCCGGCCTCTCTATCCAATCTCCCTGGGGACTTGGATTTCTTTCAACCCTATTTTTTGGCATGTTTACATTTTGCATGTGCACCTTTGTTAGAAATCAATAAAAGCCTTCTGAAGAGGCCAAAGAGGGTCTGCATTTTCTCGGTTTACTCAGCCTGAGTTAATGTAAGTCTTCTCCAAGCATTTTCAGACTTTGTGTTTTGAAACTCACATATCTTCAGCCTAGTTTTCTCAGTCAGCTTTCAAACCAGGTTGGGGTTCACATGCAGTGACCCCTGACAACATACTAGGTGTATTAAGATGTAAACACTGCCAGATTCGGTGGCTCACACCTTTAATTCTACCACTCTGGGAGGCCAAGATGGGTAGATTGCTTGAGCTCAGGAGTTCAAAACTAGCCTGAGAAACAGCAAGAACCCATCTCTACTAAAAACAGAAAAACTAGTCAGGTGTTGTGGTGGGTGTCTGTAGTCCCAGCTACTTGGGAGGATGAGGCAAGAGGATCACTTGAGTTTGAAGTTGCAGTAAGATATGACCCCATGGGACTCTACCCAGGGTGACAACCTGAGACTGTTAAAAAAAAAAAAGATGTTAACACTCATAGTTAATAATCATTTAGGCACTTGCAAAATCTCAAGATACTACTAAGGTTTCCAGGATTAAAGACGAACAAGAAATACTAAATTGGTACACTCAGTACCACCTTTTGAGACATGAATTTCACAAGGTAAGCATAGTTCAGATCACAAATTAAGTCTCAAATTGTATGGATGAACAGCTAAGATATTTTATTGATATCACGAGGCTCACCAGTGAACAGACTGCTCATTTAAAGGGGTAATTGAGAAGTTTAATCAAGATACCAACTACAGGGTGGCACGAGTGGCTTAGTGAGTAGGTTGCTGGCCCCATACACGGAGGGTGGGAGGATCAAACCTGGCCCCAGCCAAACTGCAACAACAACAACAAAATAGCCGGGCGTTGTGGCAGGCACCTGTAGTCTCAGCTACTCGGGAGGTTGAGGCAAGAGAATCACCTAAGCCCAAGAGCTGGAGGTTGCTGTGAGCTGTGATGCCAC